CTTATGGTAATTCAAGAAACTATTCAGCTCAAGGGAATACAAGGTCTATTAATATAATCTAAAGTTAACATAAATTTCATTTTCTCCATTCAATTTCAGGGAAATTCATGTAAAAATTGACCCAATCCCTTATAACGAGTTTATTGAGGTCAATTGTTAAGGTAATCATCATTTTCGTGTATCTCAATTTACATAATAGTTCATCTCGATTGGTCAGTTTAATATTGAATAAAAAAGAGATTATTATTATTTTCTCACTCCCTGTAAGAATAATTTACTCATTTGGAATATTGAAATTTTCTGTTCAACAATTGAAAATAGCTCATGAATAATCAAGCGAAAAGAAATTGACAAAACTAAAATGAACTGTAAAAGTTATCAGTAATTTCCCAGGAACTGATGGTGACAATGTAACCAATTTATGCATACGAATTCTTAATGAATCAACTAATATATCATGAGATTAAGTGCTGAGTAAAGTTCATCATCCGTGATAAGTGAACTCGATATCATTTAAACCTTTTCTGTCCAGTAGGTTTATTTAGATTCGTTTGGATAAGCAGCAAGAAAAAAGTTCCAGTTAATCTTCATCTGTTTTTCCTCTGATTTACATGGGATTTGATTCATTAATCTTTTAGTAACACATTCACTGAACTTCATTCATCAACCTGTTCATCCTTAAACTCTGATGGAAAATAAGTTAATTACATTAGTAGTTATTATCATAATCTATTATTATTTTATTCTATCAGTTGATTATCAACAAGGACATTTTCTTCAAGAATTGAGAGGAGAAAAAAACAAATGATAAAGTTGTGAGAAAAGTTTGAGAAAATTCTGGTTACAGAGGTTGAATACAAATTCTGCATGGAAATTGAGTGAAAATGAGAGGAAAACAAAAACTTTTCCATTTACATGTCATATTGACCATTGAATTAGTGGAATAATGAATTCAGAATGATGACCAACCCAATGTAATGCTGGTTTAGTTATGCAAATCAGGAAATAATATCATCAACACTTGAATGAATTACAATCAACATCAAGAATATTATTCAAACTATCTTATCATGATCATCAGTGAGTGTTATTTGTTATTTATTGGGTGTGGATCTCCAATGATAAATGATCTCAAATCAGTCTCATCATCATCATGAAACCCCCTGTAAACTTTTCCTACTCCCAATGAATTAACTGGTCTCCCTGATAATATAAATACAAAAAAACAGTTCCACTTGAATTGTAATTTAGACGAACGTTACCAATTCAAATTGGAAGATTTTTGTTAGCAATTAACTTAAATCATTAAACCAAATTGTTGATTGATGCAAAAATCATCCATCATCATGGTAGCATTAATTATCTAATACAAATATTAATCCAGAAAACTTTTTTTCAGCAAATTCTTTGATCATCTTGATTATGCTTAATGTAATCAAATGGTTAATATTTACATCTATTGGCTTATTATTAATCAATGAGATTCTTACAACTGATCATTAATCAATATGAAGAAACTTTTAATTTGATGTTTTCTCTCAACCAACTCATGATAAGAACATGAAAAGTTACATGAAATTTATTGGATGAAAGTTATTAGATTATCTCGTCGATTACAATATGGAATTATCTCTCAAATGAGATTAGATCAACATGATTTTCGAGAGACAATCTTGAAACTTAATAACGAATGATAAATGCGTTGAACTTTCTATTAATACATTCTCGATGAATGAACTTATCGAGGAATCGTGAGTATTTCCTTGGAGTATTTTCTATGCAAATGTCCAATAATCACGATTTTAAAATTCATTCCATTGATTAATCACCGAGTTTAACTTTTAATATTAGAACGATTAATCTTTTTCTACTTGATTGAATCTCGATTATGTGAACATATTATAACATTTTGATAGATTCTTTTTCGGTGATCAGTCATCGATCTTGTCCCAAAATCGAGAAATTTCATTACAGTTTATCGCCATTGGAACCTGATGAATATAATAGTAATGAACTCGACGTTTTCCTTTCTCATTATCGATTCAATTTAATGTAAATGTGAATTGGAACTTTTTTTTGTTATCATTCCAAGAAAAATGCGAATTTAGTTCAATAGGTTTATGGTGATCATCTTTTGAGATTATTCATGCATCATCATCATCTTCAGTTATCAAGAGTTTTCTCTTCATGTGGATTCTATTCAATCTATGAACATCTCTGAAGCTCATACACTCGAGTGATTCATGAGACTCATCATCTTCATGATGACTAATTTTTCTTTCTCTCAAACTTTATCCGATAAAAATGCCCTGTTGACATTAGGAACATGAGAAGTTCGAGAGAGAGAGAGAGAGAAAAGTTCTGAAACGTTCGACAAAAAAATTCCGTCGATAAGTTTCTTGATAAAGTTTCTTAACAATCTTCATCAATTCATTTCCACCCACGTCTCAGAACTTTTATCTCAACAAATTTCCACATGATAAAAACATATTCAATTTCATATAGACACTTAAGCCACAAAGATAAATAGATATTCCAATCAATATCAATATTTGATTAGAAGTCAATTCTTACCACCTAACTGAATCAGAGTAAAACCAGAACTTTTCAAATCCATTGAAAATGTACCACGAAATTTAATTTGAAATTATGCTGATGCATGGAGAAACTTGAAACCATGAGAACAAGAAGAAAAGATTAACTGAGAATTTAGAATTGTAATCAGAATATCCTTTCAGTCATTCTAAGGTTCACATTCACCTGATTAACTTTCAAATCATTTGATTAATAAAACCACTTAAACTAATCATCGTGTTAATTTAATTATTGTCAATTATTTTGAACGTGACATAATTTATATCAATATTTAATCGCCACCGTTACTCATGCAATGGGTATCATGAGTTTCATGACCAGCATCAGCTGATTGAAATGCTTATTAGAATCACAATCTTAATATCATGAACAATATCATTGCGATTTCACAATTGATCTGAATCTTATTGTTGTTGAATTTTCAGTTGGAAATTAAATTGAATTACTCAAGTATTTCTCTGATTAGAAAGTTTTACATGATAAAGTCTTAGTTTTCACCTGAATTCTTTATTTTGAGACGGAAATGTTGCTAAGAAAATGTTAGAATCGGAATTTAAATAGGAATTCAAGTTGTAAATTCATTTGTATTGCAAATGAATTTTTCTTATATCCGTTTACATGTTACATAAAGAATTCAGATTTATCATGAGAATGCTGATAAGTCTCAGAATTCTTGAAATTCAATTGTTACAATTGAAAAAATTATATCACAAAAGGGGACAGGAAGTAAAAGGTGGGAATCACATTCATGATACTCATTTATCCTCATCTTTTCATCTTCTATTATAATGATGAAATTTACCATGAAATTCAAACTGAATCACAGAAACTAACAATTGAATCGTTAAAGGTTTTCAGGTGAATTTAATTAAACTATCATGTCTAGAATTCCGTTTCACAGACCGATGAGTTGAGCATAACCTTTGAACTCAAGTGAACTGTTGCCCAATTCTCAATGTTATTGAGAGAAAATTCAGTTTCAAACTGAACTCTATCATGTAAGAATCGTTTTCCCTTTGTTTATCTCAAAAGTTATTGTTCATTGGAATAAATTTTCCAAGGGATTATCTCTCAATTCTCGCATGACAGAATCCAACTCGAGTACTTTGAAGAGAGCTTTTCTCGTCCCAATAGAATGTAACTCTGAAACTGATGCAATGCTATCGGGATATTGAAAAAAAGAGCAAAGAATAAAATTTATCATTCAAATCATGATGATTGATAAAGTTCTGATCTGAATGAATAGAGATTTAAAAGGATACATTAGTATTATGATAACAATAAAAGATGTATGATTCTGTTCATAAAGAAGATTCAGAATCAGTGACTTACTTTTATCTCGAGGTGAATTGGTGTGAATCAGTGTAGGTGAAAATAGATTACAAATAAAGAAAGGTAAACATGGAAAAAGAATCTGATATTTCACCTGAAAACAATTGTTACCTTTAAGCTCATGGGATTGAAGATGCAACTATTCAGAGTTGGAACTTGGTGATAAGTAGAATTTGATCATTTCAATGTTGATAACATTATATTAGAGTTTCCAGAGTTTGAAATGTTTCAATTGGTAACCGAGGATAAAATATTATAACAAAATTCAATAAATTCTGTAACAATAAAGATACAAATACAACAAGCGATGATTCACTTTTCGATAGAATTGATTTCCGAAGGCGAAAAAAAAAGAAAATTCTGTATTCGATATTAATTCTCTTATGCTGACTAATCGTCAATTTATAAGGTGAAAAGGTCAACCAATCAGTTTAACCAATAATTGTTCAAGAATTGGAAATAAATATTCATCATCTTCATGAGAATCGCTCACCGATAAACCTGAACCAGTTTGAAAGGTTCAATATTTACTTTTCACTCGATCATCATGTAAATGTTTCCTTCCCTGATTCTCAGTTGATCTTGATGAAATTTCATCCTCATGGACATCAAAGTGATAACATCTCTATTGAAATTCAATTGGTTGGTAAACAAGAATATAATTCAAACCTTTATGGCGGAAAAAAAATATCATCATGAAAGATTATTTTTTGTTGTATATTCAAGTTTTCACTTGTTCAAGGTTTTAACTGTTGGTTGATTGTTTGTTAACAGTTGATTAAATTGTCAATTGACTTGTAATTCATTGAGAGTTACATACAAAATGATTACTGTTAGTTAAGCTGTCCAAGTGAAAGTAAACAATTGAAATGATTAAGCTAATTGTTCATTAGACAAGAGATGCAAAAAACTCAGTAATCAAAGTTAAACAGTCAATCAAAATACATTTAATGGTTACAAGAATTAACTAAATGAATCAAGTTTGATTTTATTGTTGAACAATCAAATTTGATGGAAAAAGATTAAATCATGTTATGATTACCATGTTAATCTGTCAGCATAATTCAATTGGAAATTCATATTTTTACCTTTTCTAAGGTTAATCAAAAATTTAATCACAATCAACTTTTACAATTGAAAGTATCATAAAATTGAACATGATGATAATATATAAATAATAAATTACCATGAATATCAGGGAATTACAGATTAGATTAGGAATGAGAATATTTTTTTGTTCTATTGGAAAAATAATAAAGAAAGTTGAACATTTCCACCATCGTATTCATGATATGAACTTTTCCTCAGTCACATGTAATTGAAATGTCAATGAACATTATCATGAATTCATGGGGAAGATTAAAATGTTAAGGTAATAAGATTTGCAAGGTTATAGAATTTTGTTTTTTCATTACATGTTAACATGAGACTGAATATTACAAGATAAATCTGTGATCTGGAAGCAAATAATTCTGGACAGAGGAGAGAGGGAGAGAGAGAGAGAGAAGTTCATGATCATCATGATGATGACAGGTGAAGATAATATTAGATACAAAGTCTGAAGAGTTTTTTCTTCTTTTCTTTGTTTGAAAAGTTTCAATCCAATGGAATTCATTTTCTTGGGTCAGATCAACATTTATTTGTGCGATGACCATGATGATGACTGAATCGATGGCGGAAAAAATATATTGACTTGGAATCGTGAAAGTTTATCATGAAATCCTTATAATCCTGTTGAAGAGATAAATATTGAATCCCCTGAGTTATTTCAAGATATTTGACTTATCATAATATAGACTATTATTTATATCATGTTAATATGAATAAGCAAATTGATTACTTTTGGCTCATCAACATTATCATCATTTTCATGAGTAAATCATTGGGAATATTTGAGAAACTTTTTCCTTTACAAACAATTGAATCCATTGACATTTAATGATAACAATCATTTCAACTTAATTTTCATATGATTAAATTGTCATCTCTCATGAGATTTTCTTGCTCTTCAGTTGATGTACTTTTTTTTCAGGGGGAAGTTCAGAATATGAGCTTTTCAACTGAGCAAACAAAGGATTCAGAGTTAAATTTTTTGTTGAAATTCAACATTTGATCACAATTATAATGATCAACATCAAGAAATAGCCTCCGAATTTCATGAAATTTCAAGGTAAATAATGAGCATGTTAGTATTCAGGGTAAACAAGGAAGGGAATTTTAGATTATTAGATAAATCATGCAATAGAACAGGAAGATTTTGATGAGCATTGGGATAAGAATGAGTGAGAATCATCTTGTTCCTAAGTTAAAGTCGGAATCATTACATGAAAAAGAAACGTATAAGTTATGAATCTTCATGAGCACCGATACCAGAATTATTATGGATGAGAACCAATCTCTGAATTTCCATTATAAAACTAGAACATTAGAGAGAAGGAAAAGATTAGGTTAGAATGGGAAAAAAAAGAGAGAATGTTTTTACTCTCTGTTCAGAATGTACTGAACTTCAGTGAGATCGAATTGATATGTTACTCTATTATCGTAAGAACTTTTCTCTCTTTTCTTAGTCAAGATGCTTTGTCAACAATATTTTTTCCATTGAAACATGAGAAATGAAATTCAGTTGAGATGATAATGAACATCATGTAATAGTCTGTACAATGGAGGAAGATAAAGTTCTAAGAAAAAAATATATAAAAGTTACTTTGAAAATCAGTTACCTTCATGAACATCATGAACTTTTTCATTCTGTTTATTGACTTTCATCATATCATCAAGAGTGAAAAGAAATTTGCACATACGTATGATCATTACTCATAACATGATGATCATCATAATTTCATGTTGTTGAAATAAGTCAAGGAGAAGATAAATTGTAAAGAAACATGATGATAATATGAAATATTATCGATTTTCTTCAATTCATTTCAATTATCATATAGTTAGAATGAAGACAAAACTGTTGACAGAAAATTATCAATTCAAATGATTGAATAAAAAAGAGAAATGTAAAATTATTAATATTTTGTCAATTAATCGAAAGTCAGTGTAATTAGTGATATTTAGGTTAAATTGTTAATGAGATAATTAGTTGGAAAACTGAATGAAATTAATTATTATCAGAGTTTTTCTTACCTCGGAAATTGATTCCATCATGATGAGATTATTGAACATCTTCCGGTTGATTCATTTCCCCAAACTAAATGATAAAGTAAAGAGATACAATTATTTTCAGGGATTCTAATCATGAAATAATTCAATATCCGAGTTAATCACTTGGTTTCAAGATTAATGATAACATGAAACTTATAATCATAATTTAAATGACAAGTTAATTACTAACCTTTAACTTGATGTGAGTGTTTTTTTTGTAAATTGTTGAGGAAAGATGAAGTTAATTCTGTACAATTTATGTTGTCATTTTGATATAATGATACAAGCTAATTAATAAAACATGTAATTAGTAAATTAAACATGAATATTATCGTTAATTGAATGGAATCTTCAAGTTATTTTTGGAATTAGAACAATTCATATTAAATGATAATCGAATTGCTATTTAAATGAATTGAGTGTTGATTTAACGTAATGTAATTTGTTAAATTTGTTTCTTATCCTAATTGGGAGACATTTTCAGACTTGTTTCTAATTCAATTAGATTTGTAATTAACTAACAGGATTAGTTGTTACAATTTAAATCTACTCTAATGAAGATTATCATCAATTGTAACATAATATATAAGCTTAATTTTCACCATTCTCGTTGTTGACTCTTTTTAAGGTTTTGATTGTTGTTGATTATCTTGATGATGATTATGATCAGGATTATTTATGGTTGATTTAATTGGCTGGTAGTATTATTGTCACATTATAGCTTGAAATCAGTTATTGAAATTGAATTAGTAACAGAAGACACTGGATTTATGTTTTGTACCAACAAATTAATGGATAAAATGATTAAATTAAATGTTTTATTTACATTTAATTGGAATGGATGAGAAGTTGATTAGCTTTTTAGAATCAATCTACAAGATAAAGAGAATAGTATTACCATTAGTTAATAAGATTGTAACAAAATTAACACATTGGAAACAATAAGTAATATAAATAAATTGACATTCTCTTAGGCCTAACATTGTCTATAGAAAAATGGAGAATTGAAAATTTACCAATTGATACAAATTGTTACCATTTAGTTGATTGTTAAATTTACTTACGAAAATTGAATCGTTCATTAGATGATAATTTGATTACACAGAGAAATTTTAAAGAAACAATGGAATCACAATTAATTATTGAAACAAGAAGATTGGAGGAAAGAGCAGACAAACAATAATAACAAAAGAAAAGAAAATGGAAAATCACAATTTCAATTGTTCTTTTTTCACTTTTTTTTCTAAATGTTTACTTTTCTTTAGAATCATTTTTTCTAATTTTCTATTAATCAAAATTAATTTTAACTCGATTACAATGTTTAACTATTTTGATGGAAGGAGAATTGAAGTTAATTGTTATTAATAAATTACTTTGTTGTTGTTACTTGAAGAGGAAACAAAGAAAACAATTAGTGAGGGAAAATGTTGATCACATGGTCAACCGATCAGCTGAGTTAATGTTGTGAGAAAATTGAATTAATCATGTTAATTGTTTAATCTAATTTTGGTTTTTTTCTTCTTCTTACAGGTTAGTAATATGTTCATATTAAGCTTGGCAATTGCTGATCTTATTGTTGGTTTAATTGTGATGCCAATTTCATCTGCTTACGTTTTAACCGGTGATTGGATATTTGGTTTAATTGTTTGCCAATTTTGGTTAATCATTGATTATACTGCTTCAACTGCCTCAATATTTAACCTGCTTATCCTTAGTCTTGACCGTTACTGGTCAATTAAAAGTCCACTTAAATATTTATGCAAACGAACCAAGAAACGGGCTCTTGGTATGATCGTCGTTGTTTGGTTACTTGCCGCTTGTTGGATTATACCGATAATCGGTTGGCACCATTGGTACAATTTTGGTAATCGTAAGCACGTTGGGACAGTTTGTGAGACTGAATTTTCCGATGATAAAATTTTCAAGGTAACCACATCGGTGGTTAATTTTTTAATTCCAATGTCCCTTATGGTGATACTTTATTATAAGATTTACAAGGAAATCAAGAGACGAGGTAAATTTGATATCGGCGGATCATCAAGTAGCCATGGCGGTGGTGGTGGTGGTGGTCATCATCTTACTGGTATTAAAGGTAGTGTTTCAAGTGCAAGTAGACTGGGCGAGGGATTATCGATGTCCAGAGATGATGGACAATCATCTTCTTTAACACCACAATCAATTCATCATTTTGGTAATCGATGTAAAAGTTATCGGAAAACTTGGTCAAGTAAACGAACCAAATGGTCAACAAGTACTACTAATAATGACCCTCGAATTATATCCGTTTGTTGTCCTTCGGTTAACGTTGGTTTATCCTCATCATCGGTTGATTGTTCACCTTCATTGGTACCAAGTGGACTTTTAAAACTTTCCAATCAAAATATTGACCGATGTTCATCAAGTGATACATTTACTCAGGAAATTGTTTCCGAGGCCAATTGTGATCTAGAAATACCAATTGAAATTAAACAAGATGGATTAACAGATTATGATAATATTCACCGTTATAAACAATTGATTGTACTTAAAGCAGGTAATCGGGCTTACTCATTAGAGGATTATAAAGATGTTGATGTTCAAGTTGAATACATTGAACCTTCAAACAATTGTATCAACAATCAATCAACTGTTAACTCAACCAACACCACAAATACAATCACCGCCAACAACAATAACAGTAATATTATCACAAATATGAATAATATAACAATTTGTAGTAAAAATGATTCTCATGATAATAGTAAATATTATCATTCTAATAATGAACAATCAACTTCTTCCTCTAAAATGATGATGGGCCGATTAAAGAGTAAAGCAGCTAAATTGTGCCATCGATCTCGAGGGAAATCAACATCATCTCCATCAACTAATGTATCATTATCATCACCTAATGATGTCCATTTGTCCAGTTCAATATCTTGTGATGAAACTGATTGTTCACCGTCCAATGGATTAGGTTATAAAGAAAATAGTAATAATAATAACAATTTAACCACAAATAGAAAGATTAAAAAAGGATTGACCAATAGTGTTAATGGTAAAAGTAATTGTCCAAAATCAAAATGGACATCGAATTGTCGTTCAAAGTTTCAATCATCCTTTTCGAGTGGAGATAAATTTATCTCCCCAAGTGATTACAATAATAATAATAATAATCCAACAGTTAATCATAAGAATGGGTCGAGTTTCAATCATCATCATCATCATCATGTAATTAATCAACAATCAACTGGTGATTCTCATCATGTTCATGTTCATGGTTCTTTTTCACAATTATCTCCATCATCGTTTCAAAGTCATCGAAATGTAATGAGACGAGTTGAATCTTCTCGACTTCGACAAGAGAAAAAAGCAGCTCGACAATTAGGTGTTATTCTTGGTGCTTTCATGATCTGCTGGTTACCTTATATAATTGTCTTCATTGTGACAGCTTATTGTTCATGTATCAATCATTTCATTCACACTATGGCCATTTGGTTAGGTTACTTTAATTCAACAATTAACCCTTTTCTTTATGCTCTTTGTAATGACAACTTTAAATCAGCCTTTAGGAAAATGTTGGCCCGAGGCGCTTCGAGTAAGGATCAGTTCAATGTTAATCAACAACATGGAGCAAGTTTTAAATATTCACAGAAATAATCAACCAATCAATCAATCAACATGTTAATTACTAACATTTTTTGTTTTCCATTCTCAACTCAATCAACTAATCCTTTAAGTGTTGATTTGATAACTATAACTATTACATTACTATTATTAGACTTTCTCAATGAAATGATCGTAATGATCAATTTGTTTGTTTACAATTTAATTATTAACTTAACCTTAATTTTTAATTTTTCTTCCACCATTTTAATTGTTTTTCTCAAATTAGTTTTAATTTCTTTTGTAATATTAATAATTCATCTAATTCTGTCATGTAATGTTTTTCATTTCTCTTTCCTTATTTATAATCAAATCAATCAACTGTGTAAAGAATTAATTATTATTATTATTTTCTATGAACCAAATAAAATGGAATCAATACTTTGATTTAGACTAATTAATTTGTACAATTAAAATCAAATTTCTCATGTGACCAGTGAATCTTTTCCTCTGAATTGAAGCCTTTATTTTTCTGTTAATATTGAAAATGATTCGATAATTTATCAAGAATAAATTGTTTTACATTGAAAGTTTTCTGGAAACTAAATTTAATTGATTATAACAATCGAAGAGAAGAAAATTAAATTAATTTTTCTCTTCGAACCAAATCAAATTTACCGCGCAAAGTGAACACATGTTAGTTTGTTTTCTTATCTTGAAAATGAAAATTGATCCAAGAACAAAAGTAATTAATTGTTAATCAATTTTTCCTCTTTAATTGTTGACCAATTTTTCTAAATATTCATCTTATTGGATTAATTTCTAAATTATAGTTTTGTGATCATTGTGTTTAAGAGTTTTAATCGATATTTGTATTGGTAAAGATGTTGAATTGTCTTCGAAATTCAATCAAAGTCAATGTTGGACCTTATCAAGTGATTAGTAGGACATTGATAACTACTGAGAATTTGGTTGAATCATCTTCAAATGGGAAACAATTACCGGTGAAAAATGATACAATTAACTCGCCATCTTCTTCTGATTCATTGAGTGTAAGTTCAATGTCGGTTGAAAGGTTACCTCATTATGACATTGTCATTAACGGAGGTGGAATTGTTGGTCTATCGTTTCTCCTTCATCTTCAATCATCCAAATTTCTTGCCGATCGATCAGTTTTACTTTTAGAAAGTCAACCCAATAGGTCACCTCTAAATCTTGGTGAATTGGTTAATCAAGAGAGAATATTAACTAATCGTGTCTCATCCCTAACTCTTGCCAGTAAACGATATCTCACTCAATTAGGTGTTTGGAATCTATTGGAACCTTTTGTCAAACCAACTCGATCAATGCATGTTTGGTCTAATCGATATTCTCGAGGAATCACATTTACACCTCAAAGGATCTCATTTATGGATAATTTAATCAAAGATTCTCAGTTAACTAATGAAGACTATGTTTGCTATGTAGTTGAAAATGATATCATACTTTCTGCTTTGAGAAATAGAATTCAATCAGATTCAATTAGATTTGATTCTAAATTGGTTGGAATTGAAGCTCTACCAGGAGATACAACAGTTGAGTTAACTCTTTCCGATGAATCAAGGATAACCACTAGTCTCTTAATTGGATGTGATGGTTACAACTCTTTTGTCCGTCAATCAGCTGAAATTAACTATTTCAATTTGGATCTCAATCAATCAGCTATTGTTGGAACCGTTCAAATATCTAAAGAAAGTGATCTGGATGAAAATGATGTCGCTTATCAGCGATTTGTCCCTCATAACAAGTTCATCTTAGCTTTATTACCATTAACTAATAATTTCGCTTCGTTTGTGTTGAGTGTTCCCAGGAATCAGGTCAATGGATTAATGGAAATGTCAGATGAAGCTTTTGTCAATACACTAAATGAGGCTCTTTTCTTGGAGAAATCCTTACAAGCCAATCAATCGATACTTTCATTTCTCACTCAAACCACTGATTCGATTATTGAAAAGATTTTACCTTTAGATAGTTCATCAACTATTCCAAGAATTAATCCCCCTCAGGTCATGTCATTGGAGCCCAATTCACGAGCATCGTTTCCCCTTAAATTTGGTACAACTCTCCCATCGATGGTGGGACAGATTAAGGGTGGAGATAGACAGAAGTGTATTCTTATTGGTAAATTATTAACCCATTTAAATGACAATCTATTTTAATTGGATTAGTTGTTAATCTATTTTAAATTATTTTCTCCTTATTCTCTCAGGTGATTCTGCTCATCGGGTTCATCCACTTGCTGGTCAAGGATTGAATTTGGGTCTTGGTGATGCTGAGATTCTTGGACAATATTTACACGATAGTTTATCCATTGGTGAAGATATTTTCTCAAACAATCAACACAGTTGTGAACAATTAAATCAAGTTCTGTACAATGTTGAACGGCAACGACAGTTGAAATTAATACCCATGATGACCGCTATCCAAACAATGCAAGACCTTTTCACTTACCTGCCATCAAATGTATTCACAGCATTTAATAAGTTGAATTTAATCAAAAATGAATTAGTCCGATTCGCAAATTCAAGGTGAAAATGTCACCAAGTAAAATGGATTAGCCGATGAAATTATGTATAAACAATCAACAGACACAATCATGTTAACTTTAAAGTGATTAATATTTTTTTTCTCAATCTTTAATCTTGTAAAAATTTTCCCTCTTAATTGTTGCAATCAAATTAGAAATTTTCTGACTTTGACTAATCTGTTTAGTCGTTAATCTCTTTTGGTCAAGGAAGAAAAGAAAAGTACTTAAAGTTTTGACTTTGCTCTTTAGAAGTTCATTTGACCATTCGAGGTCCGTCCTGATCTTTGATTTGTTTTTTCTAGTGATTGTTAAAATTTCCTCTCAACATGAAGCCAACAATTAGTCAATTGTTTCATCAATACTTTGAACTTACAATCGCCGTTCTTTTGGCCTGTTTGTTTGGCACTATTGGAGTTGCAAGTGAATGTGACGATCTAAAGATCCGTCGTAATTTCTTGTCTCTTTCGAAATCAGAATGGTCTGAATATATTCGGGTTTTTCGTCAAATGTATTCTAAAGGGATTTTCGATCAATTAGCCGCGATTCATGCCGACAATTTCGTTACGATTCACGATTACCCCAATTCTTGGTTTGGCATCGATATTTTCTCTGGGACTTTGAGAAACAAATGCGAACAATTAATCCAGAATTAACTCTACCATATTGGGTAAGTAATTAGAAGGAAAAATGTAAAAGAAAAATAGATTGAAAGTTGATTAGTTTTCTTTGAATTCTAATGAGTTTTATTTTCGATTTTAATCAGGATGGTGCTGCCGATTTCATTGCTCCTCATCGTTCTGAAGTTTTCCTAGCCGAAGCTTTCGGTGGTAATGGTGATCCCGCCGCTGGTTATTGTCTCACCAACGGCTTCCTTTCTGCCATCAAAATCAATTATCCTCAACGTGCCTGTTTGAAACGTGACTTTCAGGGGAACGGTGGTGACACTATTCAATCTTGGCATTCACCCGCTTTCATCACTTCACTCATTCAAACTTCATCAACATTTGATGATTTCAGAGCAAATATTGAGCATACACTTCACAATTCCATCCACTACGGTGTCGGTGGTAATTATGGTGACTTTAGTAAACATTATTCACCTGTAGAGTAAGTTAATCATTTCCCTAGTTACTGATTGTCGATCAGAATAATTAATTATTCAACTTTCGTCCTTTTATTGTTTACAGTGCTTTGTTTTTCGTTCATCATGCTAATATTGATCGGATTTATGCTAAATGGCAACTGTCGCATCCTCATCATTTGGATGCCATCGATGGCAATCAATTGACCAGAAGTGGTTATATCGAAACAATTTCACCCAATTTTCGTCTTGACCATTACAATATTCGTGTTGGTGATATACTCAGAACGATAGAGGAACCCTTATGTTACACTTACGATGATATAGCCGATCAAAAGTCCGACCTTTCCAATAAAGTGGAAAGCCGTTTACGTAAATTACCGCGACAATTGTTGAAAAAATATTTCCCCAAATTTTCAGCCACAAATGAAGATGAAGATGACGAGTTAAATGTTGATCACGATTTCCCCAATACCAGGTCACTTTCAATGAATCTTAATCGTCCTTTACCAATCCCATTGGATTTACCAATCGAATGGTTTGAAAAGATGGGTTTCAATGTGACCCGTGGCCTCGAAGTTCAACGCAAAGTGCGAACTTTTGTCCAAGATATGAATCACCGAAAATTTCTAGTTGAACGTAGAAACCTTAAATTACTACGATCTAATTAACCATCACAATCAACAATCAACTCCAAAAATTAAATTGAACAAACTCACTTTCAACGTGTCAATTTCCTTAAAGTATTATAAACAAAAACGCAAACCTAATAAACAAAACTATCAATCACATATTCGATATCTAATTAGACTTAATCATTAAACTAATTTTCTAATTTCTGATTAAACAAAATTTTCTATTACGTCTTAACCAGTTTTCTAATTCAAATTTGGTTACAACTCTTTCATTTTAATATATATTCCCAATCTAAGGATAGTTAATGTTTATGATTAATTTTCACTAAATTATTTTCCCTTTTCCAACAAATCTATTAATAATTAGCTTTAACTCTCATTAAAATAAACTAATCGCGATTAAATTGACCTCCATCTTATCCAGCAGCTGATTTAAATTGGATTAACGATTTAATCATAATCTTTTTTATTTCTTGTGTCAAGTCAACATTTTTGGTTTGTTTGTTTATCCTTTTAATTGTTTTCTTAACAAGGTAATTGTTTTACTCTTAATTATTACCTTCCTGATTGTTGAAAATTTACTTGTGATCAGATTAAATTGTCGACCTGAACTCGTGGTCTCACCTCGTTGATTGATCTTCACATCAAGGTTACTATTTTAATGGACTCATGATGTTGATTCCGATTCTTAGTCTTTGTTTGTAAACAGAGTTTTCTAATTTAAGTTTTCTTTTTTTTGTCAATTTTTCTTTTCTAATTTAGTTTAATTGATATTTGGTAAAGTTAATTAGTCCAATTGGTTGAATAAGATGAGCGAAAACATGGAACTTACCGATGGACAAAGAAGAACCTTAGAAGATGATGTGAACAAAGAAAAGGACAGATACCTACGAATGGATCTTCAATCGAAGAGGAAAATTTATTCTTGCGGAAGTAAATTCGTTGAACTATCGAGCATCACATCGTGGACATTGTATGCACTCGCAAATCACATCTCTAAACCATCAAATGAACTATATAAATACAACGAAAATATCAACAACAAGTAATATCAGTCGATCTGTTTACCTTTTTGTATCTCATGTTATTCAATGTTTTTCATGTTAATCCAGAGTTTCCTTGTTCATTGGCGATATAACAACTCTTGAAATTGACTGTATAGTTAATGCGGCCAACAAAAAACTTGCCGGTGGCGGTGGTGTTGATGGTGCCATTCATAAAGCCGCTGGTATCGATTCTTTAAAACGTGAATGTAAACTACTAAATGGTTGTCCCACCGGAGAAGCAAAAATCACCGGTGGTTACAGATTACCAGCTAAATGTAAGCTCATTTCATGTTGAAAAAACATCATGAGATCCATGATTAGTTATAATTAATCTTATTCCTGATTAGATATCATTCACACTGTTGGACCAATTGGTGAGAAACCTGATCTATTGCGAAGCTGTTACACTAATTGTTGTGAACTAATGAAGAGTAACAATTTAAAAAGTATCGCATTCCCTTGTATCTCAACTGGAGTTTATCAATATCCTAATAAGAAAGCAGCTGAAGTCGCATTAGGAGCTGTTCGTGAATGGCTGGATAAGGAGGTCGATTATGTCCAATCGATAGACCGAATCATTTTCTGTCTCTTCATGGAAGCGGACATCGAAGCCTACCGAAAGCTGATGCCTCACTTTTTCCCCACAAAAGTGGCCACCGCAGTCCCGTCATCTGCCCCCGCCGAGTAGCAACAATTTCCCACAAAACTGGTGATCAATTGACTCCATTGTTATTGATCAACTGATCATTTCCTTTTCTCTAATTGTTATTATCCAAAAATTTTGATCTGATTCTCATCTTTATAACCCAATTAGTTAATCATTTCCATCAACAATTTGCAACAAATAAACTTCAAATGGGAGATAATTTTTGTTTTCATTTTAAATCATCCATGTGATTTAATTTTAATTAAAAACAAAAACAAAACAGTTAATTGTTATCAGTATGAGTTAATTTTTACTGATACGATTATTGTTCAATCAAATTTTTTGTTTCAAATTGAATTTAAATTCAAGTAACATGATTATGATGATTATGTTTCCAATGTGAAATCACAATTAACAAAAACAACATCGTCATCTTAAGGCAAGTTAAGTTTTCTTTTTACAATTAGTAACATTGATAAACGATATTTGCTTAATAACCTGATCATAAATAAGTGCTAATGATTCAATTAGATTGTCATCACAATGCAACAACTTTCTTTGTTTATATAATTGCAATTAAAATCCATAAGTAGTGAATTGTTAGGATGTTAATCTATTGTTTGAATCAACACTTATTGGTTATGTGTCACTGTCAATTTGCAGAGATGACGAGTAATTTGTTAATCTAATTGTGATTATCACTATGATGAGATATCTATTTATATCAATTATAATAAATTATCATTTTCCTAATAAAATAAACAAATAAAATTTTGTGGATTTTTGATTGGATGTTACGTTGATTTCGTTTTGTTGTTGATGTTGTTGTTTCTTTTGATTTCCTATTTGATTAGTTGCAAAAAAGAAACAGATTTGTATATGATTGATGTCCGATTTTATGATGAGAACTCATATAAACAGTTCATTTGCTATGGTCAGTAATTTTGATCTTCATGATGATGATTTATCTGGAAGGATGATGATGATGATGATGATCAGGAAGAGTTTGTTACAATCACGATAATTTGTTTTTGTCTTTGGTTCATTCGGCTTTGAGTAGTTTTGTTGATTCCAGAAGTGACAGAGTTAAAACATTCATTTTTTTTGTCATGATGATTGACAATCAAGTAAAGATTGATTGGTAATAATAATAATAATAATAATATAGACAAATAATGTTCTCAGATCTGTAAAATAAAACCGTCAGTAGAGATTTGAAAGAGAGGGAGAAAGTAAGAGAGATAGAGATTGATTACAATTCGCCTGAGTCGTTGAGTGAGAAGGAAAGGGAGAGGGAGTGATATTAATGTAAAAAGAGGTAGAGAGAATATTGAGAAAGAATAAGAAAAAGATAGAGAGAGAAAAATGTTTCAACCGGATCAGTGAATTGAATAACATTGAACAGTTATCAAATTCATTTTAAATTGTTGACATATTATGTTGAACATGTTGATAAATGACTGTATGAGTTAAGTATTTCCTCTATTCGCTCCTTTAATAAACTCAACTCAGCTGTTTTCTCTTCCAATGAATTAACGAGTCTTTTGATTTCCTTGCGTAATTCTAGTTGCTTTGATTGCACTTGATTAAAATCACTAAAGAATAGAAAGAGAGAGAGAAACGAAAATATCAATAATTAAATGTGAATAACAACAAAATATAAAAAAGTATAAAAAGTTAAACAAAGTTGAATAAAATGTTCGGTTGATCAATTGCCAATAAAAAAACTTGACAATCAGTTAATTGAAAATAACAGTTAACAGAAAGTGTAACATTGTATCATTTATACAGGTAAATACTGATTCAACTTGTTAAATTGGAAATGTGATCATGATATTAGATTCAGCTGATTCTTTAGGCTGTTCTGATTGTTGTTAATGTATCAAGTTAATGGACAATCATGAAAGATTGTCAAGTTTGATTTCTCTTCAGTAATTGGGGTAAATTGTTCCTCTTTTTTTTGTAAGATTTCATGATTGAACAAACTACTTACTTGGTTTCTGTGTTTTGTTGTAATGATAACAGTTCACTGTGAACTTGTTCCACTCTATATAAGAAGATCAAAGCAGAAAGGAAAAGCATAATCAGGAGAGTTGTTGTCATCACAAGTAAACGAGTTGTATCCGTTATTTGATTCCTGTCAAGATAAGAAAGAGAAATAAATAATCCAAAAAGAGAAAATTAAATTAATCCGATTTTGTTGATAAGCTGGAATCATCAAAAAGTCAATGATCAATAAGGAAGAGAGATTGGCATTTGATGATTACCATAGGATTCGTTGATAAGGTCTAATTGTAGTGGTCAACCAATTTTTTGCTTTAATTATCCAATTTGATCCATAATGAGTTAACGTAATTGATTGACGTTTTTTCAGTGATAATCTAAAATTGGTTGATGTTGTCGAGTCATTAATTAAAGTTTTACATGTATCCTGGTAGACAACTGGATCTCTATTGGCATCAGAATCTGATCCAGAGGAATCTGTTACATTTGGTCGTTGGTGGTGAGTAGTTGAAAGTATTTTCTGGATCGAAGTGATTTCCGAAGTGACTAATTTAATTGTTTCAGGATCAAGTGTCTCAATACATGGATTGGATACTATTAGACCTGAGCTTGATTGAGTATTAATTTTTTTACTAACACCACTATTACTACTGGAGTTATTGTTATTGATATTTTTAGTTGGATTTAATGGTTCTGATGTCAAAGAAACTGCTGATTCTGTTTCTTCAGTGTTTTCATCATCTTCTTCTTCTTCATCATCGTCGTCATCGTCTTCATCGTCTTCTTCTTCCACTTCCTCGGGCTTTTCGATTAATATATCATTTTCATTACGTTTAATTATCTTATCCAATTGAATAACTGGAGAAAAGTATGGCAATGAGACGACTTGAATCAATGTTGACTTCCATACTTCTTGCATCAATCGGAAAGTTGATTCTCGAGATAATAGAGATCCAAAAACATACTAAACGAATAAGAATAAAATATCGCAATTAGAGAGAGATAGTTGGTTAATTGGTTGGATTAATTTACCTTAGTTTGATCAGTACATATACCAACTGCATTTGGAAATATTTTGGCAGTTTTTTCCTTGGTCACTGAGATCACATCACAAATTGGAATCAATAGCTGAAAATTGGAAAGAATCATTTCTATTAGTGACAGTTAATGAAAAATAAAAGTGTATCAATATTCATTATTGTTAAATAATTAAGTTAATTCTCTAGAATGAGTAAAATTGACTCCTAACAGTATTTTCACAAATGGATCAAAATAGAAGGAGAGAAAGAAAGTTAATCAAAAAGTTAAATGTTCAAAATTAACTGTTAATTACTGAGAAAGTAATAAACTTGAACTTGAAAGAAAATATTCTAGCAATATTAAAATTCATCTTAAATTACAAGACAAGTTAATCGAGAGATGAATTTAAGTATAATCAAACTCGAGTGGGCGATTAGAACGGTTACTTTTCTATGAGAATTTACGTGGGAAGGTAAAAAACAAAGAGAACTGTAAAAAATACTATTCGAATTAAAACATTTTACTAAGCATGAAATACTCGATGAATTAGAAAAAGTCAAGTTATAAGGATTTTCTATTCTACAATATTCAAACTTGGGTATATATAGATTTTTCTTTCGAAGTGAATAATCTAGTAGACTCTCTCTCTCTTTCTCGAACAAGTTGTACATTGAATTTAAAAGAAGATGGATAAGTGGGTAAAGAAAAAATGGTGGAAATCATTAAGATAATAAATGTAACTTACCTGAGTTTTATAACCAAGAATATTAGAGTAGAATGCGAAATAATTTTCACTAATATAAAGATAACCTTGCAGAAGAATATCAGCTACCAGAGCACAAGAATACCAATCAATGAGTTTTTCATGAGGATCGATAGCAGGAAACCGGCGGTGGAAACGACGCTGATGAGAACTACTGTACTGTCGAAGTGTTGGATTACTGTTATTTACACCGACGACTACATTACCCACACGGGAACCACTAATTGTATTTGAAGTGGTGGTAATGTTAATTGTTGATGGAGATGATGATGAAGAAACAGATGAACTGGGAGAAAGAGATGAGGTCAATGCCTGGCCAGCAAGAATTAACAATTCACCAACATCATCACCAGTAGAAATTGACATTATTCCCTTTTCCAAATTGATAATTGATCCAAATTGTTAACCAATTAAACTCCAAAAAAAGGAAGATCAATATTAACAGGGAATTGAAATAAATTACCATAGAATTGTTATCATTTTATTTATTGTTACAATAAAATTAAAGAAAACACAAACATCACAATCGCTTCCAAGAGGATTAATTGGTAACTAGAAATTTTGATTTTCTTTTTTCACCAAAACGAAGGGAAAGCAAAGGGAGGGAGAGAAAAAAGAAAAGCGCGTTTTTCAAACCCAAAAAGAAAATCAAAATCGAAGAAAAAAATGTTCCAACAATTGGAAACTTAGAGAATTCACTTACCCAACTTTTAGAAACTTGTGATATTTTTCTCAATTACAATTATTCTTGATTATTGGAATCGTTTTATGGACAATTAGTGAAAGAAAACAAGGAAAAAGTAACATAGAAATGTTTAATTCTGAACAACAATTAACAAGAAAAACTCGTTCCCAAAGAAAGTGAGCTGAACTTGAAGAACGAGATATCAATTGGAATCTTTTTGTATTGGTTTCACTTTGAGTTTTCAATCAAAATTCAACGAATGTTGTGAATTGATTATCAAATATTCACCTAATTATCTATGGTTAAATTTGTATAGAAAATTAATTACTCCACCCTCATGAGTTGCCCGGTTAGCTCAGTCGGTAGAGCGTTAGGCTTTTAACCTAACGGTCCAGGGTTCGAGCCCCTGACCGGGCGAACAACTTTCTTTTTGTTCTCACCGAACAGAAAAACTTTTCTGTTAATTGTTTTTCTATCATTCGAATTAAATTTTTATCGTTTTCCTTTTGATTCCGAAAAATAAACGACCCAAAAAGTGAATAAACTCAATTGAGCTCCACCTATTGTCCAAAATTCTAAATCCATTTACTCAAATTCTGGTAACAATTAACGAGATTCCAAAGTTAATCTTTAATTGTTCCCACCGAACTTACCTTTATTTTCTTGATCAATCAATTAACTAACTATTATTCCATTGATTTTCCATTGAAAACCAAATGACAACTAATCAAATTGAGATCCTCAACTGAAGAGCTGATTAGATTAACAATTTAATTACATAATTTAAATATTGTTCAAGTTTACTTGATGATCAATGAAATAACCGTTTTGATTATTGATCATTAATTAAGTGAACCTAACTAATCAATTGGATGGTTCTAACGAGTCAATTTATACAGAATAAGCTTATTGATTAATCAACTTCATCTGTTGATTACTAACAATTAGGATAATTGTAAATGATGATGATTATGATGAGACGGATGATGTTAATGATGATCAATGTGAAAACATGATTAAAATCAATCAGATCAATTGACAATCACAATCAAGAGCAACAACAAAAAAGTCAATCAAAGTTTTAACAATTAGAGAAGTGAAAATTTATTTTTACAATTAAATTGACAATTTAATTAAATCATAAGATAATCTATGAGATCGTATCTTTTAATTGTTAACTATTAATTTCAGTTCAAATTGATTTGAAAATATAAATTTAATTGTTATTTTTTTCAAGCAACTAATTTGATAAAAGTCATAATTTTTTGTTTGATTTGTTAATTGTGATCAAATTTTGTACACAGGACAATTAACTAAAACTAATTGTTTAGTGAGGTAATTGGATGGATTTTGCTTAATTATCACTGGTAAGCTTATTACAATATAAATTGTTAAAGGGAAGAAGATGAGAAAAAAAATTAATTAAATTCCAATTAAAATTAAATTACAACAATTAAGTTTGATATATGATATTGAGGCAGTTGATTAATCCTTTGATTTGCAATTTAAATTGATTGTTGGATAGGAAAAGAGGTAGAGCCTTAAATTGTGACGATGATGATCAATTTGTTTTTCCGTGTTTACAAATTTAAGTAGATTTGATTAGAGTACAACAATTAAATTGATTGTTCCCGTTGTTGTCTCTTCAATCAATTTTCAATCGGTCATTATATGATAATACTAATTGTTAATTGTAAAAATCTCAATTCTCTATCTCAATTACAGGCAATATGTATAATAATATATATAAATAAGAAATTAAAAATTTACAATTAAGTGTATAAATTGTGACAATTAACAAAATTTTTCAAAGTCTTTCGCTTTTTTTCATGGATATAATTGTTGAACTGACCAATTGTCGGAAGCTGTTGGGGTCAGTTGATCATCATTAACAGTTACAACACGATTAAGCTTAGCCTCATCATAGATTATATCATCATCATCATCATCTTCATCATCATTATCATCAATATTAACTCTATCAATTTTAAGATTATCTTCATGCTCTTCCTCATCCTCGACGAGATGATCAAAAAGAGGTATTAACACTGAGGTGGAATCTCCTTGTTCTGAAACAAACAATAACAAAAGAATAGGAAAAAAACAATTGATCCTCTAACTTATATATGTATAAATAGTAATTAAAAAAAGTTAATTGTTTGTTAATAAAAATTGTTAAAATTTCATTTGGTTAAATGTTTTCGTTTCCAATTAATAAACAAAACAAAAAGAAAATTAAAATAATAATTTAGGCAAAGAGAGAGGGCATCAAATCATTTGAGATTAAAAGAAAAGCAACAAAATCGAAAGTGTAAATCAATGTGTAACAATTAGTAAATTGTTTAACTATATTATATTTGAAAAGAATTTTTTTTTTATCGATTCATTGACTTGTTTATTGTACTTACAACCATCGAGGTTTTTTTAAATTGTGTTGGAAGTTCAATTAATTGTTTTTATAGTTAATTTCATGTTGACTGTTTTGTTTAATTTTCTTACTCTTTTGGTGTGTGGCTTTTTAATTTTTTTGATTGCACCATTGATCAGGAACACCAGCATCACCTTCATCTCTTTTATTTTATAATCATTTAATTATCATCTTCACCAATTTATTTATTTTCAATTCTCTTCTGGTGTTTTTCTTTCTTTCTCATTGATGTCGCCCTTGCCGTAGATTATATTTTTTATCCCTACCATTTAGTGAGCCTTTGTTATGTTTCTGGGCATTCCAGGAAGGAGCATTTGGTGTAATCGTCAAAATATTTATATGGAGAAAGCTAGCAATTTGTCGGCAAACAATAACAGCATAATGAATGAGATCGGCCAAGGTATATAACTAGGGAAAGAATAGAAGACAAAAAGAAAATCAATTAGAAATTATTGTATTGAGAAGACGAAGAGAAAGAAAAAAATTTTCTCGGAAAATTGATATTATGTGTTCTTGTTGAAGTGGTTCGTGTGTATAAATTGTGTGTGTGTGTGTGTGTATGAATGTAAGGTTTCCCTTGTTTTATACTTGATTAACTTACCAATGCTACCCAGAGGAGAAAGTATTCAGGAAGAAAATTATTAAAATATTGATTAAGGAAAAGCATTGCTGGACCAATAAGAACAGTATCTAAATAGTCCATTTCACTCTTCGTCATATGAGCAACCTATTGTGTGTATGATAATAGTAATTTAGTCAAGAGGAGAGGGAGGGGAGAGAGAAAAGAAATGGAATTATGGACGATTAATCAAAATTCTATTTATAACATGAGAGTTTGCCAGTTAGAGGTTTTCTTTCAAGTCTTTATTTCTCACTCACCACTAGTCTGTTAGTTACTTTGGCTATGATAAGACCAAAGGTAATCAGGTAGAGACACGGATGCTCCTCGAAAAGATGAGGCGATGATTTCTGGTAAATTATGAAAGCGGGTACAATTACGATCGCAATAGGTATACAAGGTGATAGAACACTTGTTCCCTGTGAGAAGAGAGAGAGAGAGAGAGAGAAAATAAGAGTAAAATGAGAAATCAGTAAACGAGGTTAAGGTTATTAAATAGAGTAAACAACAATGCCAATTAATGGTTAGCTCAAGTTTACTCACTGCAACGGTTGATCCATTTTTACCAACACCACCAGCTAATATTACTGAAAAATTATTGAATGCAACAATTACATGGGCAATGGCTGTTGCCACTGCAGGTAATATCTTTAGCTCAATATTTAAGCCAGGTACCTGAGATAGAAAAAGAGAAAATAATGAAACATTAATATAAGAGGTGATGGGATTTTCTTTTCAGATTAATATCAAATAGATAAGTGAAGCATTTTCATTGATATAAGTACAAATGTAAACATCTTAGACATTATTACACTTACATTGGTTGCCCAAAAGCCTTGGCTTGTGAAAGCAGTCAAAATGTTGAAGAAAATAATTGAAAATTGAACCTCGGTGACATCAAATTTTCCAAATTTTAAAGTTGCGGATACATAAGTTTGCCAATGGGCAAGATAAAATAAAAAGGATGCAGCAATACACTGATAGAACATCCAACCAGGATAGTAACCTAATTGAAATGTCAAACAAGTAGCTATTGACGCCAAAACTGTTGATATGGAATCACAGCCATGGTCAAATAATTCCCCTAATGGTGAACTTGTACCGGTGCGACGAGCTTGTTTACCATCGGTAGCATCCAAAGTTTGATATATGAATAATCCGAAGGCGAAAAATAATAATGCCCACCCTGGTATCTAAATAATAGATAAAAAATAAGAGAGAGTGAGAGGGAGAGAGTTAGTGATACTATTATCAATTGGATTTTACTTCCAAGTAGATTAAGTTCACGTGTAAGATGCTCAATTACGGTAGCGAATAAGCCAAGGAAGAGGCGATTTAAATTATCTTTTCGCTTTGTAGCGTGAGCATCAGCTGGTCAGAAGGGGGAGAGAGAAAGACCGAAAAGCAAGCCTGCAATAACAATTGAGATATTTTGACAAGGCCTAGCAACCGATGGCTTTGCTCCCATAATCAAAGCTCAAAGTACTAACGCTCTCAACTGAGAGTAAAACTTATAACCTCGGAGAGCATGACACTGAAACCGCTTGACAACCGATCAGAGAGAGAGAATGAGACAAGAAACAAATAAGAAGAGAAAGAGAAAGAGAGAAAAGGAACAAATAAATGAATACTTGAATCATATGATAAGAGTAGAATAGAAAAAGAGGAAATTACTCAAGCTAAAGTCTCCAAACTATAAGAGAATGGGTTGAGAATGAAGGCAAAAAATTCTAAGAGGAAATAGAAGCTGAAAAAAAAGAAAAGAATTTCATACTTACAGGTTGTTTACCATCTGGAGAATAAAGTACTAAGATAATTGTTGTTACCGCATTAACAATTAGACCCACAAGAGTCATCAGATTAGGTGCCATCCATAAGGGTATCTTTGTGATGAACCAATTCCAAAATTTTTGCATCACCGGATCCAACAGGGTATTACCTGCAGATCTATACTTATGTTCAGTTAACCTATGTAACTGTCTCTCATTTAAAATATCTCCTCCACAGAGTAACATGGTGATGATGGGTGATGATGGGTGATAGTAAAAGAAAAAAGAAATTTATTCTTTTTCTTCCTTTTCTTCTTTCTAAAACTCTCTCTCTCTCTTTTTTCTTTCTCTTCTCCTTTAACCCCCAATAGACCAAGAAGAAGTTTGATTTTTTTTTCTATTCTACAATTTTATATGTATAGAAATAGAAACACATTCACTAATTACAAAAAACGAAACTACAATCACTGGATAGAATAAATATCTTACACCGATGGGAACTTGGTAAAGGCAAAACGACCTTTAAATAGAAACAATTAAATTATTAGATAAAAGAAGAAAAAATTAACAAATTCATTTTCTTTATCATCATCAAATTCATCACCAACTTGAGACTTAACATTTTAGTGAACAGAATCAAATTCATGCAACCGAATTGAGAAAAAAAGTGGCGCCATCTCTTGTTCTTCAGGAGAACTAATCGAACCACATGATAATCAGCACATGTTTTCATCTAAATTAGAATTTCAATTTTTTCTTCTTTGTTTTTGTCTTAATTGTTGATTGTTTTTCGATAAATTAATTATTATTTTTAGTGAGAATTTAGTGAAAGTCAATTGTTAGTCCATAATGAGGCCGTTAACTGACGAGGAGATGAAACTTGTTCTTGGTAAACTGGTAAAATATATTGGTGAGAATACTAAATTACTGATTGACCGATCAGATGATAAATACTGTTTTCGTTTACACAATGATAAAATTTATTATTGTTCTGAGAGATTGATGAAATTAGCTTTATCCGTGTCCAGAGATAATCTCATCTCCTTTGGTACCTGTTTCGGTAAATTTACACATAGTAAAAAGTTTCGCCTGACAATCACTTGTTTAGATTATATTGCTCCATATGCAAAGGTAAGTTTTTCAATCTATCTTTGAATAGAAATGACAATTTTTATTCAATTGAGTAAAATCAGATTGCTGACATTAATTTTTTTCTTTGTTGTTGAAATTTTAGTACAAAATTTGGCTTAAACCATCAGCAGAACAATCATTCCTTTATGGTAATCATGTTTTAAAATCGGGTCTTGGAAGGATAACCGAAAACACCCCAGCATATCAAGGAGTTATCGTTTATTCAATGAGTGATGTTCCTCTTGTAAGTTGAACAATAATGATGATGGAATTTTCAATCCACAAATGAATTTACTAATCATTTTCCTTTGTTTCTTACCTACACCAACTGATCATTTCCAGGGTTTCGGAACAACAGCAAAATCAACCACTGATTGTCGTCGAGTTGATCCTATGACAATTGTTGCTTTCCATCAATCTGACGTCGGGGAATATTTAAGAGATGAAGATGCTCTTTAATTAACTAATTCTTCCATAATTCTCACTGATGCTTTTTCTTTTCAAACATAATTAATAAAAGCAATACCCGTATTTGTATAATAAATGATAAAGAACCAAAAATATCGATACAAAAAATTTGTAGCTGTTTTCAGAATCGATATTCCTACAAGTTGGAATTTTTGGCGAAAAATCGACAAATTGATCGCACCCAAATTGCTAAAAGTCTCGGCATTTGTCACATGAGTCGTGAAATTATTTCTCTTTGTGAATATTTTCCGTTCCAACAAAATGCCGACAACACGCAAAGAAATATCAACACAAAAAGTGATCAAGTATCGGTAAAAGTATCGATACAAAAATTTGTTGTTTATTTTTTTCTCTCTTGTTTTTGTTGTTGTTTTAAACGAATTGATATTTACCTTTAATGTCCGACAATTTGAACTGCATGGGGACCGATATGAGAATGGCGGAGGTACAAAAGTACGAAATGTTGAAGCGATATTACAGTTACTTCGAGAACCAAAGGATGGACAATAAAGATGTTCCTTGTTTAGACAATTGTTCATTGAGAACAAGCAAATTACAAAAAGTGAGTTTTTCTCTTTTCTCTTTCAGTGTCAATCATCTATAACATTTTCTTTTCTTCTCTCTTTCCCTCTTCTTTTTTTTTCTCTCACTTGTGATCTTCATCTCCACCATCATGGAAAACAAACTCTATCCATACGAATCTTCCATCAGCTTGAATTGGAATTGCAAAAAGTTCATGCGGCCCATGAAGAGTTGACTATGTCTTTCACTAGAATGGAAAAATTGGAGAAAAACATGCGTCTCAAATTGGAAATAGACATTGGAATTCTGAGAGAAGAGAATAATAACCTAAAAGCAGAAAGAGATCTTCAGAAAAATGAACTGGAAGCTCAAAGATTAACGATTAAGGAACAAAGGGAATTGATTAATCTTCTTGACAATTCACTCAAAGCCTCACAAAGAACCGTCGCTGAACTGGAAGGTGAACTGTACAGACTAAAGTCATCGGAAAGAAACTCAAGTCAACTCGCTAATACAGTTACGAGCAATCGATCATCGTCACTGAATCTGTTCACCTCCGCCTCAGGTTCCAATTCTAATTGCAGTTCACAGGAAAATAACGCCAATCTAATCACGACCGATGAAACCAATAACAGCAACAATCGAAGCTCCATAATCAGAGCTCTTTTAGCGGAAAGAAAAAATTTCTCCGACCATCTAATAAGAAAGTGATCACTAATCAATTAGCCATATTATTTTTCCCCTTCTCTTCCTCGTGTATCAAATATCAAAAATCTTAATTGTTCTATTTATATTAGTTAATCATCCAACTTAACATGTAAATTGTAAAACATATCAAAGTCACAAAGACCCTTAATCATCCAAAAGTGCTAATAAACTCATCGCCATAATAACAGACAAATGTTTTCTAATCCTAAACAATTACCTAAATTAGTCAATTAATCAGTGACCATTAGTTAAATCATCTCAATCTAGAAGCTAAAACTTAGTCATAGATGTTAATTGTTGGTTGATTAACTTGTCCACTCTTTGGATGACCACTCAAAATTTAATAGAAATTGACTGATTTAAACTTTTAATTGCTTAAGAGTAATTAACAATTGATTGTTGATTCTGTCTACTGGTTTGTGTAATTAATTGTTACATTGATTATCGATGAAAAGTTTACCTAGTTAACTTGTGATAGCCGATGTTACAAGACAAAGTTAATCACCTAAATAATTAATCAATCGTTGAGAATATCAATAACCACAATTAGTAAATTACACAATTTACAATTGAAAACAACATTAGGAAAACTTTTCCTAAGGAAATAGATGATTAATTTTAATGATAATCAAATTACAATGGTGATTATAATGGTTGTATTATTGGTGATTGAAAAGAGTAAATTAAAACAATAACAACAATCAGCTTCAAATTACAATTTGATTGTCTTGTTGATAGACAAAAATTTCACAATTAAACAGAAATTAAACTTGAAACTCAACAAACAATTAACAAATCATCAAAGAGAAACTGTTGTTAACAATTTACTTTGATTCTCAATCACTAGATGTCTTCATAGTCAACGAATAACAAATTAAAAGTATTGTACAACAATCAGAACGATATCAGAACAATTAACTATGATAATCGATGAGAAGTTGAAACAGGGAAATAATAGTTAACAATTATCAATAATAACAATCAAATTGACACAATTAAAATAAAATAACCAATTGAAAAAGTTAAATAATTTGATGCTACGTTTGAATGGAATTGCGTTTTTTATAAATAAACTAATCAACTACAATTAAAACAATCAGGTAACATTAAACCCGATATTCAAATTTCCTAATCAATCAAGATGATTAGTTGGGTAGAAGTGATAAATTAAATAAATTACGAGCAGGAAAATTTAATTGCAATTGATAATTAAAATACGTTTGCTTTTACCATGTAGATAAAGGTTATCACCAATTCTTGACCGTTAATGACTTTCCCCTCCTTCGAGGCTCTTACAATGTCCAGTAAAAGGCCAAGGTAGTTATTCACTCGCTCAGGTAATCATAACAATCATCATAACAATAAAAGTGGAGGAAAAAAAAAACAACAAACAAACAATAAGCAAAAGGAACTTGTTGTCCGAGTAATAATCTTACTTGTGGTCAAGCTTATCCTCGTAAAGCTCATCAGGTAATAAGGATAAAGCTAATCAGTTAAGAAGATTTTAGCCAATGGTCATATATTTAAATTCCTCCTTTTTTGTTCTCTCTCTCTCTCTGCATCATCAGTGGTCTTCTTTCGTCCATTTACTTCGTCATCCACCCTCTCATCATCTTAGGAAGATTTAACTCTCTTTCTTTATCTTTTTTCCCCTTTAAATGTCAAAGGCTAAGTAACTCAAAAAAAACTTCGATGACCATTGTTAGTATAAGAAAATTTTTTCTCTTCCCTTAAACTGACCCAAAGTTTTCAAAGTTTCCTTTTTCTGCAAACATTTTGCTAACATGTTGACTCTTTCTGAGTTATTAGTTTTCTGTCTATTTTATCATCATCTTCATCTTTATTTTCATCTCTCTCTCTCTCTCTCTCTCTTCATTATATATTAGCATTATTGTTACTTTAATCACTTTCTTCTTGTCTTGCAAATCCATTTGGTGAGCAGACATTTTTTTGCTTCTCACTCTTAACCTAATCATCTTTGCATATATCTAAGTTGTGGTCATCATCATCATCACCTTGTCAATCAATGTCCACTGAATAATATAACTGATTAGGAACATAATTAGTTAATTGTGTCTCTTTCTTTTTCTCTCAGGTCATTCAAAATAATTTCCAAAGAGAAAAACAAATTCCAATACCAATCAATGTCTTCTCATAAATTTCCTGTCAATTTACTTCCTTGTCCACTTTTAAACCTAAAAATTGTCCAACGGTCAGTTCATCCAATCGAATACCAAAGACCAAAGAAAAAAAAAGTGGACAAAAGCAAAAAAAAACACAGAAAAACAGATCAACAGATCAACAATCTAATCACATGTGAATCGTTTCGTTAACTAATGATTCGTTTCTCGGGAGGTCGATTATTATCATCGCCAATTGTTACCTTCCAATGAGTATGAATTACCTGTGTAAATGAACCAAGACAGAGAGCGGGAAAAAAAGAGGTGGACGGGTAAATGATACGAAATGATTAAAACCCGATAATGATAATTTACAACTCGTTTACAACAACAGATACGGTTGATTGATTGGCGTTACTTTGATTGTTTGACTTGTCATTTCTGTTATTATCGTTACTATTATCATCATCATCATAACCATCATTGACATCATCTTCATCACCATTTAATTCAATATTTACATTCATCTTATGAAAGTGGTTCTCTTGTTGTTGTCGATGATGATGATGATGCTGCTGTTGCTCCTTCCTCCATTTAGCACGACGATTTTGAAACCAAACCTTGAGGCCATTTCAGTTGTGTTTTGTGTGTTAACGGGAACGTAAATGTACAAGAAATAAGAGCGAAAAAGAAAGAGGAAGAAAAAAAGTTTAGACATAATAATAAGATTGAGGATAAAAAGAGAAACCATTTTAAGGTTTTTAGAAACGTGAGTTATTCAGGTAATAAGAATGAAGAAGATGATATTTATGTATAAACAAGGTGAATAAGTTTACATTGAAAGAGAAAAGGAAAGAAAGAAAAAGATGATGATGATAAATAAGAAGATGAAGATTGTTCCAGTCAAAATATATATTCAATTCTACAGTCATTTTCTTACCTTTTTTTTTCTTCAAGAGAAAATTCTCTCTCTCTCTCTCGTTCTTTCTTATCTTCATCTTCATCTTCTTTCTGTTTCTCTGTCTTGTTATTTTTGCCTTTTTCTCCATCATCATCATCATCTAGAGTCTTTCCTTTTGCTCTTTCCAAACAAGCTCAGGAAGACAAACTCAACAGTAGGTTGGGTTCTGTTTCTGTTTCTATTTCTCTCTCTCTATTTTCTATGGTCAGTTCTCCTCTCTCTCTCTCTCTCTCTCTCTCTCTCAGTGAAAGTAACTGACCAGAAAGAAAGAGAAAGATACTAAACCTAAGGGGTACTTTCTTAATCGTCCGAGGTAAGTCAAGTGTGAAAAGGCTACTTGAATAGCCAGGGAAAAGTAAAGAGAAAAAAACTTAAGCAGATTTTTCAGATTCCAAAATTTTCTTATATTTATCTTCATCATCATCATCATCATTGTATTTTCAATCTCAAGCGGACACTTATCATCATCATCATCTTCATCATCATAGCATCTCAACACATTGTTATCTAAACAACCTGTTTACCTTGATAATTTATCAGTACGTTACTGTTACTCTCTCACAGAGATATAAATAGTATGAATATCCATGATGATGAGAACAGGTAAATGTATTATTTATTCAGAACAAATAGAAAAGAACAGAATTTTTTTTTACTTTTATTTGTTTTCTTTTCTTGGATCATGTCAAGAATTCTGAGAATTCTGAGTTACCATGGAAATTTAAAGTTGATATCTTATCATCGTTATCATCAAACCATCATCATCATGCTTATTATTTGAAGCTAATTTTTGACTGATGATGTTAATGAAAAGGAGATTGAAGTTTTTATTTTTTTTACTTCTCATGTAAAAGGTAATAATATCTATTGCTAACTACTAATCACCCGGAATGATAATAATGCTAATGGTTAATAATAATATTGATATAATACACTAATCGTATAATAATAATAGGTTACTAACGAAGGGTAAAGTAACGAAAATTAAGATTGCGTGCTAACAATTTAGATTCTGAGGGAAATCTGAGAGTTCAGATGACGAAGGTAAAAAATTTTCTTTTCTTTTTCTTGTTATTCTCGATGATTAGAATTGTTCATTTTTTTTTATTATTTTCTATTCTTTTTCTAATCTAAATTAGTTAATTGATCAGAATTGAAATTGTTGAGAGTAACAATCATTTGGTTTTCCTTTTGTGATTCATGATGATTGTTTTGACCCAGAGACGATTAAACTTATTGATTGTAGAGGATGAGGATGATAATTCATCTCTTACAACAGGAACCATAAAAACTGTTCAGTTGAATTCTGTATATGAATTAGTTGTGTTTTTCTGTTTCAATGGTAAATAATATGAAGTAAATTATGAATTCCCTTCGGTTAATTAGTTTTTTTCTGGTGTAGTTAAAGTTTTCCAATTTGTGGTTAGTGTTTAAATTGTTGCTTTTTAAATTGTTATCTGTTTTTCTTGTGATAATTTATTGTTTTCTGTTTTTTTCTCTTTTTTTTCCTCTGCTTTTTGCAAATACTGTTGTTCTTGTTGATTGTTTGAAATAATCAATTGATTAGTAGGAGAAATAACTAATCAAATGATTGCAAGTTTATTTTTATTTCTATTATGATAATGAGAATAATTATCATTATGATTGTGATTATGGTTGAGGTTGTGGTGTTGGTGATGAAATTGATTATGAGGAAAAAGATTTTTATTAATAAATTTGAAAACAGAAATTGTATTGAAATAATTATATGAATTTAGATGAAGGTGAAAAGATAAAGATGAGGATAAGATGAGGATGAGGATGAGGATGAGGATAGTATTTCTAATCCGGAGCTTTATTAATCTTTAACTCTTCTTTGTTTCTCTATAGGAGTCTGACGATTATGATGATGTGGATGATGATGGAAAATTATTATTTCTGTTAAAAAGTAAAGAGAGACTAAGAATCAAAGAGAAAAAGAAAGAGAAGAAAGAAAAGAAAGAAAAGAAAGAAGAGATAGAGAGAAAGAGAGAGATGAGAAAATTTGAGACTGCAAGTTTCCTTTCATCGATGGAAGATGATGATGATGGTGATGAAGATGATAGAAAAGAATAGTAATCATAATAAGCTAAGATGAAGACTAAGAGAAGAGCAAGAAGGATGATGATGAAGAAGAAGTAAAAACAAGGTGCCAAAATTGTTGCCAAATTTTGCGCTAAAAAACGAGACTAAACTTTAATCAGTATTCATGGTTCCTCTTTTTACTTTGGTTATTTCAAAGTAGAAACAAGATGATGATAGAGAAGAAAACGAAAAAAAGAAACATGATGATAAATGGAGAAAGGGTATAAAGAGAGAGAGAGAGAGAGATGATGATGATGATGATGATGAAAGGTAAATAGAAGGTGAGTTGATAATGATAATGATGATGATTAGAAGATAAAGAGAATCTAACAAAGTATGAAAGTAGGTGAGTCCGTTAAAAGGATCATATTGATGATTAGAAAAAGAGGAAAATGATTAAAACGATGAAGATAAAGACCAAGATGAAGATGAAGATGAAAAATGTTACACTTTAAGATATTGTTTCTAAAATGAACAACAAATGAAATCGATGAAAATTAAAATATAAAAAAAAGATGAAAATGTTTATCTTTTCATCAATCAACATCCTTGTTAAGGTTAAGTGAAAGTTAACGACAACCTTTAAAAAGAGTATTAATTCAATATCATGGTAAATAATCATTATGAAGATGATGATGATCATGATGATGGTGATGATGATAAAGATACATTCCACCTTGTTTAGAGTGAGAAAAAAATCTAATGCATATTTATCCTCCTTCTCATCATTTCCAGTTTGCTCATCATGATTTTACTCTGTAAAAATTATGGACCATCAATTTTTCCTTGCAAAGAAAACAGTTGAGAGAGAGAGAGAGAGAGTAGGCTTGTTAATCTAAATTAGCTAAATAAATCAGCGCCTATCATCATCACCATCATCATAATCATCTTCATTATTCACCTTACGGGCAAAAGAAAATCTCCCTCTCCATCATCATCAACATCGTTATCATCATCACAATCTCTTCACATCTTTTTTTCACCTTCTTCTCAAATCGTGTATTGAATCACCATTGAAACAAAAACAACAACAACAAATGATAGACTTTTTTACCTTGTCTATTTTGGGTTTGGTTCTGTAAATATTTGAACTAATCTTAGGTTTTTCTTAGGTACCTTTTTCTTGGATGATGAAGATACTGGAAATTGAGTAAACGGGCAAGGTAAAAGGTTGGCCCAGGTAAAGGTAAAAAACGAGCACATAAACAAAGAGAAGATGAGAAAACACATAAATAACAAATTATACTCACTCGAAGCAGAGAGAGAGAGAGAGAGTAACTCCCAATCATTCAAATAATCATTTTAACTTTCATCATCCTCATCATCATCTCCATCATCATTATCATTATCTTCTTCTTTCTCTCTTTTTCTTCCAAAGGTCACAAAATTACAATAAACAACATGGCCTGAAGGCCGTTTGCCGCACGATGTAATCATTTCCGTTTTCAACACTTAACAATCAAACGTTGACGAGATGGTTACGTTGATGATGATGATGATTACCTTTCCAAAAAAAACACATCAATGGTAATAATTTAAAAAGGTAAGTGTTTCAAACTGATCAATAATTAGAATTGATGAAAAGTAAGATTGTCAGAGAAAAAGTTTTCAAAGTTAATTGCAATTGATTACGAGTGTCAAAAGTAAATCAATTATTCTGCCACTATAACATAAAAATATAAATTTGATTATAATTAGAGAAACAAATTAATTGTAGAGAAACAATTTACTTTAAAATATTAATTTCTTTCATGGTCAACTAATTGTAGAAGTTAAAAAAAATTTTTTCGTTGATTGTTTCGTTAATATGAAAAACTATATATTAATACACATAAAAAGCTATTGACCCTTTGCAATTAACAATTTGCAATTTGATTAATTAAATGGTTGATTAAAGTAGGAAAAATATATTATATACAAAGACTCGAGTAAATCAAATTAATAGCAATAAATATAAATATAAATTGTTTAGATTTATCGTTTCAAGTCAACAATCAACAATCATCATTATTACACCTATGATTTTGAATGGTTTTCATTTAGCAGCGTAAAAAAAACCAGCAACAGTTAATAATTACAGTTGATTGCATTCTTGCCTGATGCTGTTGATTATCATGATTATCATCATGATGATGTTATTTAATCTCATTGACCGTAATGGTTAAATTGTCCGTGAACAAGAAACGGTCTACCACAAGTTCATTGAGCAACAAATAAACAAACAAACAGCAAAAAATAATAAACAACAAGCTAAAGTTATGGATGATGAAGATGATGTTTGAATGAGTGGATGATGATGATGATGATGATGAAGAAGCAAAAATCATCAAGATCATTGAAAAATCATAAATGAAATATTAACTCATCTCTTTTACTTCATCATCTTTTTTTTTCCTCCTACTTTTTGTCTCATCTTCAAAACTTTTATTTACTTTGGAGGATCAACTTGATTAGTTAATGCAAACAATTAACTTAAACAAAAGTAATCATATGGTTTTGGACACGTTCATGTTAAATCATTTGAAAAGGTTGTCGTTAACTTTCACTTAACCTTAA